TCTCTATCTAGTTTTAGGACTTGTATGGAGAACAGATCACTTTCTAGGTCATATTTATGCAGAAATGTTGAAAATTCAAAAGTGTTCACAAACTTAAAAAAAAACCACTGTAGATCTGCAGCTTCAAGGGCATCCCTTCACTGCATCTGGAAGTATCGCCCTGATAATTTATCTGCTTCCCATTTTTCAAATAGGACTTTTGTAATTCAGATCCCTTATCTGCCATTATCATGGGGTTTTGAACAAGTAACTTTTGTTTTAATCTCACCTGAAGAGACTGTCCTAATTGAATAAAAAATTAGATGTAAATAAGTTAATGTCTTTTGAAAGGACACCTGAAAATTTAGTGAAAAAAATTGCTAACTCTTTAAATAGTTTCCTTGCTCTAGATTTTCACTTAATGTCATTTTGACATTATTAATACCAATTTTGTATTTTTAGATGGCAAACTGCTTATTGTTTCTTTCTTTCTTAGAGAGGATCTGACGAACTTCTTTCAGGCAGTGTACTCAATAGCCCGAACTCTAATATGAGCAGCATAGTAGTTACTGGTAAGTGATATATTTTAAAGGATCATTGTTATTTGAATATCAAAACATATCTATCTTGCAGAACAGATTAAAATACATGGCAGAAAGAATGTTCATTATGCCATTTGAGTAGTCGTACACTAAACTTTAAAAACAAAAGAAAACAAAACCAGCTATAAATGCCTGAACCAAACTTGTCTCTCTGTGTGCGTATATATAAATAAATTGGAAAAACCTTTGACCACTCTGTACAGCTAAGGCAGGATGAGAAATGGAAGTTTCTTCAACAATTTACCTGAAATTATGTTAATCTTATTCTACCCTTTCCACAGCCTGACTTGCAATCATTATTTAACTATACTATAAAAAAATTAATATTGAAATTTATATACTTCCCCTTACCCTCTCCATACCTTCTGTTAGTTTTCTATCTCTTTAACTGCAGTCTTTCCCTTCTACTTTTTCTACCACATATAAGAATATACTAAATGTGCAATAAAAATCTTATACTTTATCTATGCCCTTGAATAATTATGTTAGTTTTGCAAATAATTTTAAAGGGGCAAGTGCCCGGCCCTTTCATGTGTTCAGATAATCTCTTGCTCAGACATCTAGAAACTATAGAATGAGTGTGCTGAAATTTTGTGCTTTCCTTAATAATGCATTAATTAAGGTACGTTTTCATCTTATTTTGTGCTTTTAACTATCCTGAATTTGTCAGATGGTATTAGATTTTTATTTTGTTTTTATTTTTTAAGTTATTCTGGGACCTTTGGCTGAGAAAGTGGTAATGCATAAAAGAACTGAAACTAGAATATAATAAAGTTAGGAGAGAAGGTGTTCTGGGATGGCATAGTAAGTAATCTTTATTTGGTCAATGACCAGCACAGGGATACCTATTACAGTCTAGTTGTATATGTTGAGATTGTGTGCTGCTTTTTTTTTTTTTTTTGTGCCTTTGAGTCAGTGTTGACTCCTGGCGACTGCCTGTACAAGTCCCTGTAGTTACCTTGGCAAGATTTCAGAAATAGTTTGCCATTGCCTGCTTCCTAGGGCTGAGAGAGAGTGAGTGGCCTGAGGTCATCCAGTTGGCTTCATGCCTAAGTCAGGACTAGAACTCACGGTCTCCTGGTTTCTAGCCTGGTGCCTTAACCACTACAGAAAACTGGCTCTCTAATGTGCTAGCATTAGATAACGTCTTATTGGAAGCAGCAGTATTCTTATTCAAGGATAAGCAACCATCTTTGGGTCACTGACATATTTCAGATATTGAGAATATATCAAGAGTGCACACAAAATAACTACCTTGAGGAGGCATGTCTTTTCAAAACATGGCTGCCAGAATAATCAGGAGGCTTTCTGATATTTATCTATTTGTTTGTTTATTCTTTTTTTCTTATGGTCATCTACTTGCCAGACAACTTTGGGCTGCTAACAAGGCTGCCTCCCTACCCCGCCCCACCGTTTTTTATTGTTTTCTAGGGCAGGTTTGCATAGGTGTTTGCAGCAAACTTTATATTGCATTAAAATGACAACATGTGGGCAGTAATATCATGATACAAACCCTAACTTTATGTTCTTGCATCCTGGCATCTGCTGCAAATATGTAAGCTGTAGGTTTCACTTGATTATTCTTGGTTATTATAGAATTCTTGGTTATTGTAGATTTTTTTTATCAGAATAATCAAATGCTTAGGTATACCCATTGCTTTGAGACACTTCTAAAATCTTGAGTGATCAACACAATAAAAAAAACTTTGAAGTAGTCTATAAAACAAAAGTAGAGCTCTTTTTGATATTCTCTTGTTGTTTCTATCATCCACCTAATATTAGCTACATGTTCTTGTATTCCAATGTTTCTCCTGAATTCTTCCCATTCATCTGCCATTTTTTCTCTCCCTATAGAGCTGTAATCTCTTCTGAAGGATTTTCAACAGTTTCTTGCTGGGCTATGGTATTAGGACTACTGTAAATAGAACATTACTTTAAATATGTCTTTTTATGGATTGGGTGTAGGTAGATATTTTCCAGTCTTGGGTCCATGCTGCTTTTTTTCATATTGGTTTGCATAGGGCTGTCATGATCTTTATTGTTTCCATGCTGGCCTCCTTTAAGAGCTTTATGGGGATTTCATCAGCTCCTGGAGATTTCACCATTGGTTCATCAAATTGAATACAGTCTCACCTGAGCTGGTCTTCTTGTATAGGTTTTTCATGTAGTCCTTCCATATATTTTAACATGTACATTATCAAATCCTTTCCATTGTTCCTTATGACGATATAAGTTTGGAGTGTTCCCATGATTTCTGTGATTTTCTTTAAAATATTCCTTGTTCTTCCTACTTTGTTATTTTCTTCTCTTTGTCTACATTCTGTGTTCAGATATATATCTATCTCACCTGCTGCATTACACTCCGTAGTTTTCATAAGATCTCATCTGGCTTCTGCCAGATCTTAGCTGGGGAACTAAAGTGCATCCCCAGTTGGTGGATAGTGGGATGGCCTGCAAATAGGCAGATTAGCTGTGATAGAAGTGGGATTTGGTCTAAAGAATATGCAGTCACAGACCACAAGTGTCAGCAGGATGTGGTGAACTGCAGAGAAGAATGCAATTCTACAAAATGCCCCAGAAATCCAAACAAAACACTGTGATAAGGCAAGTATGGTCTGCCTTTAAAAGTGCAACCCCATCTCCCTGACTGCAGGCAGCAATGCAGTTAGTACTGGCATAGAACCAAGATGAAATAAATCAGATGGGGTTATGACCAGGCAGCCACAAGTGAGGTCGCAGCAATTCTATCAACTGTGGCACCACGAGAAAGGATAATAACAGTATTTTAAGATCAGTTTGACAGTTTACCAAGTGTTAGAAAATAAGTGGGTTCTCCTTCACTGTTGGTTTTCAAAGGGAACTAAATTGTATCTAATATGAATTTGCTGAAGTTCTAGATTTCTTGAGCTGGAGTTTGGATTAAGTAATTTATAGATTCTGCTTTATGAATTAGTTATACTAATTAATGCTAACAAAATGGTGAGAATAGTAGGTTTTGTGTTATTTGCTCTAGCGTATTGTCAGAGCATTTAATTTGTATCTTTGATTATTTCTGTTGTAAAAAATAGCTTAAGATCCAAGATTCAGTTACTTATTTCAGAAGTTTACAAATACTTGGGCATTCCCCATATTTTTTTTTATTCTGAAGAGCACCATAATTCCAGATGACAAGTTATTTTTGAAAGGCCTCTCAGTCCAAAAGAGGTAATGCCCATGCCTGCCTTGTATTGAAGTTGACACAAGTAATATAAACAGAGCAGGCATTAGACATTTCTAATGGGAGAAAACAGA